GAAGCTTGCATACGGGACAGTACAGGCTTCTATGTGAAAAGGCATAACAAACACCTAGCAACATGGGTGTGTACGTGCCACCCAGCAGCTTCACCGTTCTCTCACTGTGTGTCTCCCACTCCACTCCCAGCAGTCCTTATTAATACGGCTACATATTTTCCCTTCCTCTCTCTACCCTACGGCATATCTCAGCAAACCTGCTTCCTACCTTCTTCTCATCCTCTGCTCCTACCGTCCCTAATTTGAGCCCAAAGATGAATCAGGCATGCTCAGGCTCCAGGAACAGAGTTGGTTTTGGTGAGTGAGTGTAATGTGTCAAAATTAGCATGGAGGAAATTATCTGCTGTTGCTAAAAATCATAGCTTGTTTGTGGCAAATGTCATGAAAAGGCACTCAGTATGTGCATGCAACATACCCTCTGGTTAATTTTTGCATGCAGTTTATTTTTCCACAAGGGAACAGCAGAGTGCCAATAATTAGGCAGGCGGTTACACAACAGAGATATCCCCACAAAATACAGCCCATTAAATTTGTTGTCTACTTCTGAGTATGCAAGATGAAACAAAAATGTTCCTTATGTTATCAGAATGTGCTCAAACTAAAACTTTTGTTATCTTTCCTTGATTCAGTGCAATATTATTACAGTACCCCTTGCGGAACCAGGCTGTTTGCGTAGTTTTACGTTTATTCAACCTGTTCTTGTAAAACTGGCTTCTCACGGTGTCCTATAGGAGCGAAAGGAGCTGCTCCACAATATCAGTTCTCAATTAATAAGAGTCATTAATATGAGCCATTACACCAGAATATTCAGATGTGTTGATGACACTGGAGAACACCCAGCTCTCTGTGGTGGTAATCACAGCTCAGTGAAAAATAGACATCAGTGAAATGATGCACTGGACGTGAAGCCTCAAATATTCCCTCATCACTGTATACTTAACTTATCATTCCGGGATTTTAATGGCCCAAATCAGAATAAAAGAGTACAAAAGAAATTCCCTTAAATGAATTAAATGATTAGGCAGAATAATGAAAGTGTTGTTAAAATCTCAATGAAAAAATAGTGAAGTGTTTCTATTTAATGCAGTCATAAAGCATTATTAAAATAAGAGAACCATGCAAAACGAAGTGAGCTTTCATAAGCAGTTGTTGAGACTCTGGGTTGTTCACAGTCATTAGGGAAGGGAAAGTTTAAGCTAGTTTCAGAGGTTTTTAAATACTCCTCTCATCAGCCAACTGCCGTTGTCACCTATGAACCATTTCCTGGCATCCTATACATCAGATAATTGATAGCTACAAAGCACAGTAAGATTGTGTGACAGCAAAGTGTTTTCAGGTAGCTATTTCCTCCTTTAATAGAACCAAGAATTTATTTTCGGTAGGAATGGTTGAGGTCATGGTGAAGTCTGACTAAGAGAACTAAGAGACCATTGAGACATAACAATTTGTATGGTTTAAAGAAAGTAGAATCAAATTTAACATATATAACTAAAAAATATATATATTAATTAATATCTTCATTATCACTATTAATTTAAAATGTATAATCTAATTTAAAAACCCCACCAGACGTTTGCTAATGAACCTTTACACAAACCTGCCCTGTAGACTGATGACCACTGACCAAAATGGTGCAATGATCATGCATTTTTAGATTAATAAAGGAAGTACAATTTCAGGAAAAAGAACACTTGCACATGTTCTTGTTTGTGTGCTTCAGGCTCGCCTTTAAACCAATTTGCTCAAAAACATCCAATCAGTGGAGGTAAACACCAGCTAATTGTGGATGCAAACATCAGTGTCTGTGAAAAAACATCTGAATAAGACAGTATGCCGTCTCTACCATATGATCCCAATTGCAATTCAGAGCCCACAATGGACTAACTTGAAAAGCCCAGCTGCGAGGTTTTACTGTTGTCCGCTTAGTGTCCCAAACTCAACATCTGTGAACCCTCAGAAGAAGCTGTGCGAGCACAGGTAAAATAATTTTGGATGCTGAAATAAATACAAATATAAACAGAATGCAGTAGCTTCTAAATCTCAGCCACAAATATCTGCCATTTCCCCCCCTCGTATAACCAAGAGCAGAAGTATATCTAAATACAAACAAACAAACAAAAACATTAGGTTGCGGAAAAATAAACAGCTCAAGGAACTTGGCAAGAGGTGCAGAACATCCAACCACACACACTCACTCCTATGGGGGTATTTTGGAGTGTTCAATTAACCTAACACACATGTTTTTGGATGGTGGCAGGAAGCTGGAGTTTCTGGAGAGAATCCACACAGGCACAGGGAGAACATGCAAACTCCATGCAGAAAGGTCTCTGTCCCCCCAGGGACTAGAACTGGGAACCATCACGTGAGGTGATGGTGCTAACCACCACACCACCACGCCGCCCCAGCGCCCGCAATATGACAAATTCCATCGAGGAAAATTCAGCCAATGTCTTTTATCAGACATAGACGACACTACACGCCTCATCAAATGGCCCAGCAACTTAGTATGTTTAAAAGAATTCTATTGTGAACAAACGTTTGAAAATTATTCAGTATTGTTGTGTTCGAATCTCTTGCTCCCTCACAATTCCATATTGAAATAAGGGTTGTTAAATGACACAAAAATCATTAAAGAGTCATTTCACACCATTAATGGTTGACAGGAACTGAAATACTTCCAGCTACTACAAAAAGCACTTAAAAATGTGATACTTGTCATTAACCACAAAGACCACACCAACATCTGCTTCAGGCTTTTTTCTTTTTAGAAAATTTGAAGCTCTTAATAATGGACAGAAACAATTCATTTAGATTTTTAGGTATTTACTGTCACTCTCTAAGCTATAAAGAATAGCATGAAATTGAACAAGGCGTGTCCATATACTTTACTAACTGTGTTCTGTTTTTGTATCTGTTTGCCTGTGCAGCATAACAGATCTCTAATGGCTGTAGAAAAACTGGACTAATTAGCAGCCGGGCGCTCAGTGTGCGTTCCTCCATGCCAGAGACACCTCTCACAGATTTAGGAGGCAGGCACTCAGGGTGTTTGTGGCTGCGAGCTCGCCTGGTCTGACGAGAGATTTCTCATTATGCATCCTTGCCTGAGAAAACACTCAGCCTCACCCAAGGCGCTGTGTGTCACTGTGATTTTACACTACTCTGCGTCGGTGCACGCCTTTGTGGCGTGAGAATACATCGCGTGCACCTCTCAGCACTCCTAATATCCATACCCCTTACTTCCCGCCCTTTTTTTTTCTCTTCCTCCTCCTCATCAATGCCCTCTTGCCGCAGTCTCCCTCAACCTTCCCCACCCTTCCCCTCCTCATCCCACCTCAGTCAATCAATCCCTCATGAAATCACAAGGTGACACATACGGTGTTGTCCTGGTAACCATTGCTGCACAACTGTTGCCTGGTCACCGGGCGCAAACAAGCTCAGAGCCCAGCAAGGTGTCTGCACTGCACAGACTAAGAACAAGGCATCTGAGAAGCAATAAAAGGCTGGAGGGAGGGTCGGGGGGTGGAAGGTCACCCACCGCCTGCTGCAGTCCACCCTCTATTTAATTTAATGATACCATTCAAGGTGGATTCTCTGCCCTGAGCGCTTCTGCATAAATGTCAGGCAAATCTGCACATTCATTAAAGATATTTGTGTTACAGAAGAACCCAAAATTATTTCAAACTATTTCAACTCATACATTTCTAAGAGGGACCAGAGTTTTTTTTTTTTTTAAATCACTAGAACTGTTCCTCCAGTATGCATTTATCATGCCATTAAAATGACAATGGTTATTTTATTCATGCCGCAGTCTACTTTCACTCATTTCATGGAACCAAATTAGGAGGGAACACTAAAGAATGAAATATATCAGACCAGGGACTTAAAAATAGATTATTTTAATGAAGCACTTTGTCAAGCTTGCCTTTGGATCTATTATTTATTATTTAACAGTATTTCTAGTCCAGTGAAGTATGTCAATATGCAGTGTAAAGTCTGAACAAATGATTCATGCAATACTAATTAATTAATTCTGCATTCTCAACTAATATCCATTAATTTCCGGCGAAGGGGGAAAAAATCAAGTGACTTGAACTCTTTGTACCTTACATTAATCCTTTCTGCATACATAATTCTTTACTTATTTTCCTGCGCTGGAGTGCTACATTGAAAAAAGATAAGCATACAGTCATTTCAGGAAAACATAATGTGATATTTCTATATTTACATCGATATTTGCATCAGTTTCTACACAAGATGTAACATTATTTTTGTGCATGTGCATAAAATAAATCACCAAAGAAATACTGACTGATGGTGTGTGTTTATTTTTGATCATACGTAGGGAAGAATTATGGCTGTGATTGATATTGGAACATACACCGTGCACTGCGTCTAATTCAAAGGCTTCTCTGTAAGCCTTTGATAAAAGACACTTCTTGCATTACACAGATTTCTCGTTCTAGATCCTCAATCTGCCAAGAAAAACAAAACGGCTGGCTGAAAGAGGAGGAAAAAAAGGTGTTTGTCTCTAAGGAGGGTGCTGTGAGGGAGGTGGAGTAAATTGACTGTTTACGGCAACAGACCAGAGAGGGACCTTGAATGTCCATGACGAGCTCTGTTCCCTTTTTCACTTTCAAATCACCTTATCCCTGGGTTTTCTGGATGCCATCCTAAAAAACCAAGGCCATAATTTCCATCCAATTTGCTCCCTCTCTCTGCATGAACACTGACAGATTGTCATATTTTGGCCACGTTCCCAGAGGAGAGTTGTGAGAGGCAGGAGGGCAGATAAACGGCTATTACCATCCACACCGGCTCATTACTGAGCATTTAGACCCAAGAACACAGACTGAAAAAGCTCCATGCAGAGGGGCATTTAAGCTGCTCCTTTACCCACCCCAGGAACCCCGCACCACTGAGCTTATGATTGACAACTCACACTCAGTCAATTTCCTCTTTTGATGAAAGTAGCATATATTTCAAAACATTGACATGTTCCATCAACAGTCATCTATAAATCCATAAAGATGATTGTTCATAAACACAACTACCAGCAGCATAAAAAAGGGGCTGTCACTCTTTGCTATGGTTACGTGGACGTTGACAAATGAGGGACAGAAGGCAACAGTTTTGCATGTGCAGCATAAAATGTATTGCTTAAGCAATATAAAAATGTTAAAACTTACCGTCATGAATCCATCTAGTAAGCCTGAGTCTGGTTTGGGTGGAGCCTGTAGCCGCTCCATTGACCACTTCTCGATGATGGACGACACCTGAGAGTTTTCTGTGTTAAGGATACGGAAGCCGGTCATGTTGACTCCACTGTAACGATACGGCTCCATGTCAAGGGCAAAAAGGTCCTGAAAGCAAAAAGCCGAAAGTCTGACAGTGTTCGATCTGCCAAATTAAAGAATTCTTCATCTTCACTTTGACTTGGATCGACATCTCTCAACTGGTTCATTTGGAAAATCAGTCGAGTGGCCGTCTAACCCCGAGAGCAGAGAGGTACAGTTGAGGGCTTTTTAGGAGTTAGTTTATCTCATGCTGATGCAGTAGCCTGGATTGTGACAAGACTTTCAAGGTTACAGGCAGGCTTTTGGTGAATTGCCATCTATCATGTGGAAGTAAAAGGACAACCCAATTGTCCTGCATACAGCATGTCTGGCATCTAACCAGGCAGATGTCTCTGGGACACAACAACACAGTTGAAAGAGCAACAGCAGGTGAGGGGACGCAGAATGGGGGTGCCGTGGTCAATATTTGATGTTCTGAAAGCAGCATGGATGGCTTGGTACCAGTATACAGCAGTTCAGGCCAGCACAGTTGCACACATCCTGCCAAAAACTGGCTCGTATTAAAGTAGGCATATTCCCATCCAGACAAGCAACAGCATGCTACAGAAACCTACCAATGATCACTGTTGTTTTTCCTTTCTCAATGACATACCTCTTATAACTTACTCCCTTTTTATCTAGACAGGCTCCTACATGTATGTGAATGCACTACAGATGGCCATATGCCCTGTTTTTAAAGTTTATTTTTCTCCTCAGCCTTTCCTTGCTTTTCTCCGAACAACACAGAGCATCATTTGTTTGTTAGAGCCATAATAGACCAAATGGTTGACGGTGTCATCTGTTCATGGCTATTATCAGAGCTCTAAGTCTTCTGTTCTTTGGGTTCAGTGAGGATGTGCTGCTTTTAATCTGAAGCGTAGTAGCAAGCCATCTTTGTAGTGGCTAGATCAAAGAATTTTTGGAGAACTTCAATGGCAGCCAGAGTCAGAGTAAAATACCTCCACCTGCTTTGGTCTTCTACTCTCAGGGTTGTGGTCAGTCAGGTGGGAAAAAAAGACTGCTGCTGGATGCAAGACATTAACTGAAGTTAAACTTATACAACTCCAAGTTTAGAATGAAAATATGTTTTCTCGGTGACTCAGCTTTTCAACACTACCTGTTTCCCTGAGATGGCGGTTGAGCATCAAAATTATTCATACACAATAAAACACTTGGATGTTTATCTTTGACTCTCTCCTAGTTGAGCTGAATTCAATTTTTCTCTGAGGGAAGAAAAACTGCTATCAGATGCTCAGACAGATGGATGAATTTTGCCTTTCAACAAGCAAAACAGATGAGTGTTTGCGCTACAATAGACTAAGAGAAATACACTGTCCAAACCATACATTATCAAATGACACTGCTCTGCAAAAAAGCCCAACAAATTACATAGAAAAAGAAAAAAAAGAAAAAAAAGAAGAAAATATCAGCGGACTCACCAGGGTCGTAAAAATATAATGGTAGTACTCTGTCATCATACCCATGGACAGAGCCTGAAGGGATAAGAGAACAGCAGGCTCTAAGTTCAATCAAATATGAACATCTTAATGAGAATGTGTTATTAGAATTATTCACTCTGGTCTGAAAGACTCATGAAAAAAGAAAAAAATATATTTTAAATAGAACCTGGACACTTTCACAACATTTTAGAATATAAGAATCTGTTAGAAAAACACCTAGAGTGAGCTGCTATCATTCTGCAAAAGTTGATATCTGAAATTCTCAGTTTTTCAGAAGCTCAACTAATATATTAGATTGTAATAATAACAAACAGAATAAATACATGTTAAATGACACACACTTCTTTCCAATTTCAACAAAAAAACACTTTAGGTGGATGTTTTTCACACAAAATGTGTTGCTTTCACTGGTATAAATGTGCTTATTTCACAGCTCCTTCACTTTAAGCAAAATACCTTCCAAATTCGTTGTTGCTTTCAGTGTGAAAACCAACAAGGTATATAGGCAAAAAACAACCTGTAGTCATGACGACACAAGAATTGACATTTTGTGTGATTCCAGTTGGTTTAAGGATGGTAAATGCAAAATAGGGTACAAAATATATAACATGCCTTTATATGCAAAGTATATTTGAAACGTTTACATGCAATAGTTTTACATCATGTAAGTTCTGTGTATGAAGTGTCTGGATAATACTGCTCTGTTTTCTTATTTTGTTGTTTTGCATGTCTGTGTGGATTCTTGGGTGAATACAACCAGACAAAAAACAAATTCTCTATTCATCATAATAAACAATCCATCTCGTTGCTTTGTGTCCACGGGACAGGCAACACGAGAATTCCAGCGTCGCAATATTCTTCTGAGGAGACTCGAGTTCAGTAAAAGAACACCCACACTTCTCATGAATAATGTGCTTCTGTTAAATTAACTTAACATGCCTGTGAGCAGAGTTACACTTTCTAATTAGAAAAACTTTATTGTGCAATGGAGAGAATCCATTACAGTTGGTCAGTAGTCAAGATCTAATATTCTACAAAGAGATTAAAGATATACAGAGCAGAAAGAAGGTATCCAAATCACTTGCATCAGTGCTTAACAAGAGAAAGAGTAATAAAGGGAGGACACAAGGGCTTATTGTTTTAGTACTTATGCATAATGAATGAACAATGAGCCTATACACTCAGTGCTAGGTCTTAGAAGGGAAATTATGTAAATTTAGAAACTGTAGGTAACTTATTTTTAATAAAGGCCAGATAAATTGATAAAATCGATTCTTTAATTAAAGCTATTTCTGTTGGGATGTTTTCATACGGAATTTTAGATGAACAGTAGAATATCTTAAAGTGTTTATTATTAAATGGCCCTATTTTCAGTTATTACTAAATGTGTGTTTGAGGACTTGTAGAAAGTCAATGCTTTAACTCCTGCAGTGAGTCTGAAAAATGACCTGGGCTTATTTAGTTAGCCTCACCTGTTTCAGGATCCAGGCAGCCATCTCATGTCCACAATCAAAGATGACGTGAAACTCCTTCGCCTTCTTCATCTCCTTCAGAAGTGGCTTGGCGTCCTTGGTCTCTGTGGGCAGCTGTCGGATCTTCAAACGGATGTTGTATCGTGACGGTGCCTTGATCAGCTCCTGCAGTCGAATGAGACCTGCGGACAAAGAGGGTGCACATAGCATGAAAGAGGAATTTTAAAGATGCAGCAACATAGTGTGTTTGATCTGTCGCCATTTTGAAGTATCTCAGATTCTAAGGGTGCCATGAAAACCAACTGGAATCAGGTTTTCTCAGCAGAAAAAGGCTCATATGCATGCCTTTCTAATCCACTGTCTATTGATCCTCCCACTCAAGCCTGGCAAGCAAAAAGACTGCAACAGACCTATCAGGAGACTAGAACACCATGCCAGAATATTGCACTCTTTTGTACCTAAAAAAAACAAAATAGAAAGAACCTCAATCTGTACCCTCCCACATTAACTTCCAATTTGGCAGAAGCTTCCAAAATGGTGATTTGCTCTTGTGTTCCACAAGACCATAGAGGAGGCCCGAATTGGTTCAATTTTATCTTGATGGAAAGCCGTGGTCAATCCTGTGTCCTCTGCTTCTCTCACACACACTTCAGATGTGTTTTGATGAGACAGGCTCTGTTTGCCCAGCTTGTACTTTCCCCGAGGGAGCCTGGTGCCGCCATCACATATTGAGCTACAATCTTCACCTTTCATTTCTCGACCACACGCTCAGGTAGAAAGCTCTCCGGGAGATACTGTGATGAGATTACAATGAGTTTCTCCCTCAGTAAAGAACTTCAGAGTCGAGGGATGAAAGGGGCTGGATTGATGGAAGAGATGATTACTTGTCATGGGTATAAAAATGGATGGAGCAGAGAGGATAGTTTGAGAGGGAACTGGAGAGATAGTTTTTTTTTTGTGGAACCACTTTAAGATTGCTCAGCCTATTTTTTTTTTTCATTTTGAAACGAAGTGCTGTGTGAGCAGTTTAATGGTCTTACTGTGAGTGGGGCCAGGTCTCCCTGAGGCCTATAGAAAAATTGGTGTGAAACAGATACATGGAGGTCTTATTGTGAAAAGAACCACAGTAGGGAGAAATACTAAACCACTGAGAACTGTCCTCAGGTAATCCCAATAGATCCCTACTCTGGGGTATGTCTGCTTTCCCCTGTTTTTGTTCCTACTGACACTTTGGGAGGTGTTAAGCTAAAAAAAAAAAATCTGTCAAGGGAGCTCAACGTTTGGGAAACACTGTCAGCGTGGATGTTTGTAAGCTCTGGCTAATGCCTTCAGACTTTCCCTCTGGATCTTCTAACGGCTGTGTGTGAATATTTTATCCCCTCCGATAGTTTTTCCTGCCAGCCGTCAGATAGGCTCCAATCAGCAGCGCGGGGCCCTGGAGCATGAAGCTGTGTGATTACAGCCTGAGACTGTGTGGAAGCTGAGGGTTGACGCAACACAGCTATGCAGCTGTCACCCATTTCAGGGCGTCAGGTGTCTTGCAACTGAAAGGCTCCGCAGAGGAGGCTCTGACAGAGGAGGAGAGGTGAGAGGTCATCTCCCGGCATCTCTCTGGGATGGTTTGGGGGGGGATCGAGGGTGTTAACATACAGAGCTCGGAGGGGGTAAGTGAAGAGGGGTCAAGGAGATGAGTCAGAATAATGTGGCAAGTGGGTTGAGCCATTGGGATATAATCTGAGGCCAACATATGGGTGCAAGAATGCTGCAGGAATGGATGTTTACTGAATTTCATGTCACAAATGTGGAAGTAGGGATACACAAAGAATGGAAATGCCCAAAAAATTATAGTTTTCAGCATACCTCTCCTTATCACAGACATTGAAACGAGATTAAATATGTTAAAGTTGATGGTGACAACTACTGGGAAATAATTACTGATTTTTTTTGGGTGATCAGTCTAAAATGTGACTGTTTTTGTGACTATAATTTACACATATTCAGTTGCTAATTGCATTGTCCCTGATTGCTCAGAAATGTTATTTACCTTTGAATATTGTTATCCTCATGAGGTGGATAACATTTTACAACATGATATTGCTGTATCTCAGCGAAAAATGCAATCCACCCTTTAAAAAACACTCAGCAAAGTTACGGGACAGGAAGAAAAGATCACAGATGCATTTGATTGTAACCCTCAGCGATCAAGTGTCTATGTGTTATTAATGGCTGTTGTCATGTCCCACATTTTACAGTTCTGCTTTGCATTGATCTGATGAGACACTGGGTCATTCTAGGTAATGTGGTTTTCTTTTTTTCTATGCTACTGCTCATTCTCCTGGAAGACTGACGTGGGCAGCACCTGGAGGACTGAGGCAGAACAGTAAGCTATTGATTTCTGAATTAACTTGACAGGTTACAAAGCGCGCACTGAACTCTGAGAAGAGTGCCACATTTTCTAGCTAACCTGGTGCCATCCTTTCTGGGGATTTTATTGTGTAAATGTTGCAGGTTTTTAAAAATGGTCCCATTCATCATCATGAAAACAGCCACTCCAGTAGCGGATGAGGACAGACACCAGCTGTACCTGTACCTGTGCTGTCGTCATAGACCACAGTGACTGTTCTCCACTTGAAGAAGTGCACCAAGTCCAGGATGGCTCTGCTAAGGGAGGAAAAGTCAGGGTAGAGGCTGACATAGTAGGAGTCCCTGTTGTCTGACACTTGATGCTTCCACTTGGTCTGAATGTGCGGCACTCCCAAAGCATTGCAGATGGACTGGACTGCATTAGCCGAAGAGCTGTGTGAGGGGCCAAAAATGGCCGCCACTCCGAGGGAAAGCTGGTCACATGCTGGTAAAGGAGTAAGCAGAATGAACATTGTATCAGTTTATATACATATAAATATGTACATTTTTTTTTTCAATCTGACCAGTTTACACATTTCCTGCCTTGGATTGTACCAATGGAGAGTCACCCAAAACTAGCATAGCAATCCAGAGTATATACTTGATAACAGCAAAAATCAGTACATAAAATCAATTTCCTCACCCTGTAAAGTTCATTCAAAATCTTTTCAATAATTTTTTGTGCATCTTAAAAATGTTGAATAAATTCTAGACTTATTCAATAAAATGTCTTGCGTAGCAAAATGTGCTAAATGTTTGACATGTTATAGATCACCGCATAAATGCCATGAAAAATTCTACTCTTTTTAGAAAAACCTCAAATCTCACAGAAATGTGTTGTAATACACGTTACCCTGAAGGATTTCTCCCCGCTCACCTTTCCGAGAGGCCTCAAAGCTGTCAAAGATGTTTATTCTCTGGATGTCATAGGTCAGTGTGGTGTTGGGGAGCAACGTGCGGTTCCTGTTGATTGTGTTCAAGGCAAATTTAAAGGCTAGTTCCTCTGCTCCGGAGGGGCCACTCTCAATGGATTCAAAGATTCCCCCTGAGGGTAAAGAAAAAAAAAAAGATAATAAACCCACTGAAGCTCACTAAGCTCATGTCAGACAGCTGTAATTGCAATAGATTCCGTAACTCAAGTCTCATTCAGGTAAATTATCGATATGATGCAGGCAATTACAGCTCAAGCATTGACATCATTTGTATCTCTTAAATTCATATTATTGAAGCGATTTTGAATCGCTGTGCACAGCTCAGTCACACACTGACGTGGAACAGATGTATATTGCCGATAAGACATTTAGATCACCCTTGATTCACATGCAGTGGCAGTAGTCAGCGTAATTATAGACAATTAGATTCATCAGGAGGTAAGTTCAGGGTGGTTGCCCTTCTTTAACTCCTTTGCCCACCCTCAACAGAAAAGTTCACTCTTTCATTTTGTCTCATTGATCTCAGCGATTTTCAAATGGGAGGTGAGTAAATAAAGTCAGACGAGAGAGGAGAAAAGACACAAATTAAGGCACAAAGGTGGATTGGAGATAATTCAAAATTCATGCTTTAAGTGATTTACCAGGAGGGACGACGACAGTGAAGGAAAAGTCAATCATAAAGGAAAAAATAATTTGTGTATTTCAGTCAGCTGCAAAAAACATATAATCTCTACATCATATTTCTCCATGTTCATTTGTAAATCATCTTGAAGGTGGTACAATGCTGCAATGTGCATGTAAAAGAGATGTATTTTTAGACAGATGGAAAAAAGAAAAACTGACAAAACAGGCACCGCACAAAATAAAAAGAAATATGCACAATTTCACCCATGGACAAGGTAATTGCTGCTGCAAAGTAATAAGTTGTCAACCTGAAAGTATTTTCCGCAGACTTGTCAATTATGTTGGGCTGAACAAATGACTAAAGCCCCAGATGTCCCATGATCCAGATTCCCAAACAAAGAAAGCCAGCATGTGGGTCCACCCTTGACAACCGTGTTTCGTTTTCCAGCTATGCCAAACCTAATTCAATTGAATTCATTAAGAAAACTTGAAATTGTGAACATATGTGGTAATAGTAGAATCAAATCTACATGGACTGGTTTCTTATGTGTTGGGAAAATCATCATAATATTCTGATGTCCATCTTCTGTACACGCTCGTCTCACTTGGTGTTTTAAACGTCAGGATTGAATGGGGTCACTGTGAATTATAACAGTGTCTTCCCATGTCTATCATTAAGACGGGGAGATCATATTATCTGGGCAGCAGCAGAAAAAGATGCTAAACTACTTTTATCTATATAAACAAAAAGCATAAAATAAAACAAACAAACAAACAAACCAGAAAGAAAACAATACCTTTCAACAGTCTTTCCACCTTTTTTAAGAGGACCAAATCTTAAGAAAGGTTTACTGAAATCAGACTTAAAAGAGAATGCATGAGGGGGGAAAAGATGAAAGGGGGCTCTGAAAGCAGCACAGAGAAATACTCTTGGGAATAAGACTGGAGTTCAGGAGTCCATCCATGGCTCTCGTCCTCTCACAGGGCAGAGACAGATTGACGAAATCCAAACTGAAAAAGTTTAAAGCCTGTTTATTGATTCAATTACAAGGAGTGAGAAAAGTAAGATTGAAACAGAAAAAGACACACAGAGTGGCGCATTTTTAAAAGAGTCAAGAAAGTGAGCGAGAGAGAGAGCTGTATAGTAATAGACAGAGCAGCTATAAATAGCATCTGGCCATGGCAGGGAATGATAGAAAATGAGTGCAGGAGGGCAAAGAAGATGTCATTAACCCAGGGAAGAAGAATTTATCACTGCCACCAAAGTGCAGCCATATATTGGGGTCTTTTACTCTCTTTTATGGTATTATTATTTATATATCATCCAACTGAGTCCAAAGTGGAGGAGGGTATAATGTAGCCTAAAATCTATGGGCATGCTTTTAAAAGCACTAAAGTACATGGTTGTGTTTTACAACTGAAATGATGGAGCTATGATATTAATAATGAGTTATTCCTGTGTTAGTCTTCTATTCATGTGATGTAGGCATGTTGCTATTTTTGACGTTTAATTTAACAGAAATGGCACATTAATCTTCAAAAGAATAGATACTAGAGAATTATCATTATAAATGACAAAAAGCGTGTTTGCCTGACCTAACAGATAATTACTGTACTATCACCCTGAGCCTCCCATGTCTGTTCAACCAATGTGAAACCGAGCGTAGTGCTGCTCAGTTCTGCTCGTCACATTTCTTTGACACAATGTATGGCTTCAAAGTGTTGATTTTAAACTCAGGGCACTTTGGTAAATATGTCCAAAGACAGGCTAATCATGAAATTACATAGCGCAACCAAAAAGGAAAACAGAATCATCACAGTTTGCAACCTGCTTCCTCTTGGCAGGGAAAAATTTACATGAATTTCTGATTAACTTGTCTACCCCAGGTATTGATTGCTGTGACTGATGAATCTGACATTTCCCTCCAAGTGGACTTCCCATACCTTGAAAGGAAAAAAAATAAAAATCGCCCATGTAGAGCCTCTTGCATATTTAGCTTGATTAAAGTCTTATAACACACCCTCGATCATCCTTCTATCCATTTTCCTCTTGCTTGCTTTTGTGGTCCGTCTGATTGCAGGTGAGTGAGTTACAGCTGAGATAATCAGCAAGTGTGTGTGCGTCTGTGTGTGTGCGTGGTTGTGTGTGAATTATAGAGTCGCCGTCATTGGGACTAGTGTGAATTATGGTGCAAATGAAAGCCCTGAGTGAGTTATGAGCTGGATAATCACCCTGATGAGAAAACAGGCCAGCTGATCTGAGGGTCTCAGTGAGTGTGTATACGTAGATGGTTGTGTGTATAGACAAGTGAGAGAGAGAAAGCAAAAGAAGTCGTAATGAAAGCACCGTGCCGGAGACTCTGTTTATTTTACACCCTTTTAACATTTCCTCATGGTTAATGAAGCATATTTTGTACTCAACACTATGCATTAACTCGCTGGATTCATTTCAGACAGAGATTAAGGTAATTTACGACAAATATCCATGAACAGATATTATTTACCTTGTGTTTGACACAGGCAATAGTAATTTTGGTATTCATGTTGGGGAATATGTTTTTTCTCTTCTCACGCAGGCTTGAGTAATGTTATAAGTGAAGGTTATCTTTTGTAAATTCTGAGTTTTTACCGTGAATATGAGGAAACCGTGAATTGAAACACAGATGGTTCTCTCTTCCGAAGCATGCTTCGTACAGTGAATGGGTGATACAGGTTGGATATGTTGCCATAGTGACTGATCTATGCCATGGTTTTGAGGCAGTGTCAGTTTTGGAATGCCAGCAACTGATTTGTGGGAGAAAGGAGATGCGACAATATGAACAACTCGTCTCTGTGGCTAATGGCTGGGAGTGCAGCGGCAGGATGGTGGTGGGCTGTAGGGTGGCTGCCATGGCAACCTGTGAGAAAACCCTGTTACTAAGGCAAGTGGCCCAGGTATACTCATGAAGACCTTCAGTTATTCCCACAGTTAGGCTTCAAGTCCTCCAACCACCCACCACATGCCAACCCTATGGCCTGTTTCTGTCTCACTCATTCAGCCAGTGATGATCAGTGCTCAGAACCAATAGGCAAAAGGCAAAAGTGATGGAAAAACTCCATAAATATCACTGAAATTCCCTGTGGGAGCGCTCCCTGACATGTTTGGCGGTGAATGGGACATGATGCATGAAGGCCTGCAGAGAGTTGCCGACCCAAGTCATTAATTTGAAGCTCCCGTCGGTAGAGTGGTGGAGTGACCTTCCCATGCTGCACAAGGGCCAATTGTATCTCTACCTGAAGATCCCTAGATATCTGACCAGAGCATGCTACACATCAGCTATGCAGGACACTCGCCTGAGCAATTATATCACACAAATAGTCCTATTAAGAGCTATGTGCACAAAAATAATATCAGAAACCCTCGGGATCACTGCAGAGTATAGATTTATTTGTCAAACATTTTTATTTGGTATTGAGGGGGGGGGGGGGGGGGGGGGTGACTTGCTATGTCTACTTGCCAGGGCAGATTGGGCTATATTGTTTGTAGCAGAGGTGACACATTGTTCAATGACTGAATCTTCACTTGCCTCCACCCAGAGTGTAAAGTCAGATATTGGTTTTGTTGGGGCAAGATAAGAGAGACAGGAAACATGCTTCTTCAAGGATGTTTTTTCCTATGTAACATGCCTTTTACATTCCTGCAATGGTTGTCTTCCAAACTATTGCTTTGAATTGCAATGCAGGAATATGAGTGATCGCTGAGAATCACATGAGGAATAAATAAACAATTACTTGGTGAATATTAAGCACTTGACAATATAGATTTGATGATTTTCATATTCATATTTGTGAAAGAAATTACAATCAGTTCATTAATAGTTTTTCTACTCTGAACCAGCTGCTAAGTGACACAAAATGCTAACCACTTATCTGGCACAGATTATTAATAAATGAGTCATTAGCTTCTAATTTAATGCTCTTTCCATTTTGTAATCAAGTATCTAACTAGTTATCAAATAATAATGAACACAGTGAATGAGAAAAGTTAGAGTGTTATAAAAATAGTAACTAATGATTAAGTTAGTAGCAATAAATGAGTCATTATTAGTTCGTGCAGCTTAGCATTTGGCTCAGTTAATCAAAAACTATTAGATTATTATTCAGTTTCTGATGGATGAAATTAAAAGATAAGACTAAAAATTATAGCGTAAAGAGACGACATGAATTGAATAGAACTGAAATTATATTTCATGGTTTGCCAGTTAATTGAAAGACTTCAAAACAAAGTATAACTCATGAACAAAGTTGGAATCAAAGGTAAAATATATAAGGTTTACTATTGTCAACTAATCAGAAAACAGCAGGAAGTTTTTTTCAAGTGAGTGTTTTGCAGACAATTTCCCAAAAGCTCTCTCTTAAACTTTGTCTCCAATACAACAATCCCATAAATTGATGAAAGCTAGTGTTTTAAAAAGCTATACGATTGCATCTGGAATTGTTAGAAAGGA